AAGTATTTTTTGATTTATCTGGTTATCCTTTTTGCATACCACTTTTGCATGCACATGCCCTCCCCCAATGAAGCAGCATGTGGTAATTTACACTTGCCTCTTATTTTGTTTCTTTAGGTGGATGGATGATGGCCTAGTGAACGATATTACTCCGAAACTGATAGGCGACAGACCTAATACTTACATATATACAAAAGCCTTAGCTGAATATGTAGTACAACAAGAAGGTGCAAAATTAAACACAGCCATTGTAAGGCCATCTATTGTTGGTGCTAGCTGGAAGGAGCCTTTTCCTGTAAGTCATTAATTTTTCACCCTATTGTCTTGCCTGTAAGCTGTAGGACGTACTGACAGCCTGTTTATCTAGTGACCTTCATAGAGGAAAATCTATTAAGACCATGAAGTTTTGGCTTGGTTGCTTCTGGATAACAGTTCTAATACAAAAGCTGTCAAATACATTCTTCTTACATGTGAAATTTAGGGGTAAATTAATTCTAATCATAGAACAACACACTTGTGTCACAATGGGAGATGCATGTGAAATAAATTGTCAGCTTTTTACTTCATGAGTCTGTGTATATTCATCGATTATTTTTTTTTAAATATTTTTTCCTTCAGGGTGCTTTGGTATGTTGGTATCTGCAAAGGGTGGCTAAGAGAACTGGGGACTGCAGGACATAATAGTCAAACCCCGTAAACTTTGTGGGTGATGGCATAAGTTCTGTGTATTATATTGATATATAGCATATATACTATATGCTTCCTCTTATGTGGGAGATTGGTGATGGAATAGCTTTTCCTGTTTAAGGCTGAATGTATCTTGAGCCCTTAAAATCCATATAATTACTTTGCATACCTTTTTGAGTATGTACAATGTTCATGTCAAGCCAATAAGTATAGAGTATCTAAATAACGCCATTGAAGTTGAGCAAGAATGTCTTCTATTTGAAAATGAAAAAACTAATAATTGATAGCAAAACTACTTATCTGCCTTCTACTAGGTGCTAGAAGCTAGTCTAAAAATACTTTCAACATAAATATATTTTTACAGCTCATGCCCTGCAGTTTATCTACTAGGAATAAACAAGCTAGTACCGCACTTTGAAGGGCCAGTGAATCTACAGGGAGATCTCTTGTTTGAGTCATAGCAACTTATTACCTCACCAGATTTTGCTATGGAAGAACTTCATTTGGAGACATGGAAATTAGTATCTTTCTTGTCTATATTCTTTTCCCTCCATCCCTTACACTTTAGAAGCTTTTCAAATTTTCACTTGAAACTGCTGACTTCAGTATACTCTAACCAAATCCTTTCCCTCCCTCCTGTTCATAATAGGGGTGGATTGATAACTTCAATGGACCTAGTGGTGTCTTCATTGCTGTAAGTAATGAATATACTTAAATTTTTTTCTTCCTTTTGGAAGGCAGCAAAGCTTCATATGTTTTACTGGTGGCTCTTCTGTCTCTTTTTTTTGTTGTTTTGTTCTTTAAGGCAGGAAAAGGAATTCTTCGAACAATGAGAGCTTCCAACAATGCAGTAGCAGATCTTGTGCCAGTAGATGTTGTTGTGAACGCGACACTGGCTGCAGCCTGGTATTCTGGAGTTAATAGGTGACAACAGACAGTACTACATATTTTGAAATTATATTTTGCATTTTAATAAATCAGTCTTATATTGAACTTGACATAGTTTAGTGGTAACTTGGCAGTGC